TATATATATATATATATATACAGCTGGGAAAGTAATACTTAACTGTGAACAAGGATACTTGCAAATAGGATTATCATTTGAAAACTCATATTGCTATTCTTAGCATTTTAAAACCCTTCCCTGATAAATTTAACTTTTAATCTAACTGAAATTTAAAAAGCAGCAAGTTCTAAAAACAGATCATAAACACAGAAGCAGTAATTTTCCTAAAGAGAGGATTGTGAAAAGCATCCACTAAATGCCTAATATTTTTAAATGTATTTCAAACAAAAGCAAAGCCACAACTTAAGATAAAAGCTGATGTTAAAATGGTAGGATAAACAAATTAACATGAAAAATCTTGATGAAAAGAACTCTATTTAGAGGGGAAAAAATTATCTTTTTCCTATTTGCAAGACTGTTTTTCTCAGCATTCTTAAAAACAGAGAGCTTGCTATTGACATGCTAATGAGGGAAGAGGTGTATGGAAGCTCACACACACGCAGAGACACACACACGCAGACCAACATAGAAAGTGCACATCTGAGGTTTAAGTGAACCTCAGATTAAAAGGAATGGCACAGGGAGTTTACCAATGGGCTACTGACTAGATTGCGATATGCAAAGCCATATCCCAACAAACTGCCTCTGATATTTCTACTATAATTTATATTTAATTCATTTTACTATAAATGCCAATACTTGGTATTATCTTACACACAAATAGCAGTCAAAGAATTACTGAAAAATTAAAATATTAAATTCAAAGTAAATCAGATAAATTTATCAAAAATAATTATATAAATCCTGATCATAAAATATATAATTTAATGCAGTTAATTCCATTTGAATTCTGCCATCTTATGATTAAAATAAAAAATGGATATTATCTACAATCTTGTAAATGTAATTATTTGTATTAAAAAATATTAGTTTTGTATAATGCTCATTTTATAATAAATACAGCTAATATTTTATGCCCAAAATTTAAGTTTTTATTGCAAATACATTTAAAATCCTATAATAGTTATTGCAATTTTTTTAATATTCAACTATGTATTCTTATATATTTAATTATGAATAGCATGGAAAAGTATCCAGAGTTGTTTCAAGTTTGCATAAAGTTTTATGCTATTCTTTTTAGTACATAAACCTTTACTTCTATCCTTTTTTAACTTTTTTTGGGGTGGGGGGAGGCAAATAATACAAACAGATTAAAAACAATTTAAATTCTAAAGATGAGATGATAAATCAGTCAAATTAACGCTAATGATTATCTTTTTCATAAGTACAACAATTAATCTTTAGGGGTCTTTGAAAAGGCAGACAACAGAGGCAGGTTTTAATGTAACCCTAAATATAATTATGCTGGCCTCCCTGTAACCACAACATCAAAATCTAGGATATTTTTAGGATCAAAAAAACTAACAAGAGTTATAAGGCCCAAGCCAAGGTTAACATTCTGTACAATATTATGTCAGAAGAATTACAAATGGTCAAAATCTCGCTTTCACATCAGTAGATTAACATATGCCCAAAGGATTTGTTTGGCATAAGTGCATGAAAACCATTTTTAACAATCCGTGACTGAAGACATATCTTGACATGCAAGCATAATGGCAAATTGATCACATATGCACATGGTGAAGAAATTTCAGATATGCTTGTAATCAATTACTGTTTTTCTCTTAAAATGTATCCATAAAAGCCCTAAAACACCAGAAATTAGTAATACCAGCACACTTCCAAAACATAAGTCATGCATTAAATTAATACATGACAAAGTATTGTGAAAAATTTATAACAAATTGCTATAACTTTCTTTTTTCACCTATAAATATACATTTCATTTCAATATTTCTCATAATGAATTAATTCAAGTTTGTTCTCATTGATATATAAATTACACAACTTTATATTTTGGCTAAAATAATAATGATATTAATAAGAACCTTTTTTATTTATAAAGTATGAATTTGAATGACTTTTTACAATAAAAGTTCAAAATTCCAGAAAATAAAAAATATTACAATATTTAACAAATTATCAGGCAACTTGCTCAAGATATACATGAAAGTGAATAACTTTTCTGGACTTTCAAACATTTACAGATTGTGTGAACTTAGCTGATATTAAACTCTCTTTTTAATAATGAATAATGGGAGATATTGCATTTATATTAAAAATAATTATAATATTTTTTAATAACAGGAAGGCTTTTATGGATGCTGAAAGACAAAAATTCTGATCTCTCAATTATTCTCACCAAACCATTAACAAATGACATAGCTTTAAAAGTGTGTAAAAGAGTAATAACTATAGAGCCATGCTGTGGGGACACTGGAGCATAACCTGGTGAGGAGGTGAGGTGGTAGCACATTAATGCTTTAAGTCCTAATTCCTATACATAGTGGGCAAACATAACACTTTAAGGATATGACAATATATGGAATACATGTGATAAGTCATAAAATGTACAAAAATAGGATAAATTACATAACAATTATACTTGCTAACATATAATACAAAAATATATGTATAGTAGATTAAAATATATGAAAATGAGATTTCATGAGGCATACATAACACTATTAAATTTCCCTTTACATCTAGTATTAATGAAATAAAATACTAGTTTATTACAAGGCAAGCAAAAATACTCACTTGAAACTTTTTGACTATAAAAACTAAACAAGAAGGTTTAAAAAAAATTGAAAGCAGCACTCAAATTTCACACCTTTTTATAAAATGAACACCTCAACAGCTCACCAGGATGCCCTGCATGTGTATAAGACACCCGAAGCGAAGAATATGGTAATTGTAGAGTTTATGGGGACAGACCACTTGCTAGAGTCCCACAGCTAAGCAACGCTCCAAATATGGTAAGTGCTCTCCAAATAGCCGTAGATGTGGCATCCATCCCCAAGCGCAATCGAACCCTAGGTCTTGGTAACATGAAACCAGGGCTCGAAGGCGAAATAATGGCAATCCTCATGAGCTATTCACACCATGTGGCAAACTGCCACGAGCACTGCTTTCTTCTCCAGATCCCTGAGGAGTCGGGGGTCCATCTTTACGTGGCGGCATCCTTTCGTTGATCTTATCCAGACCCTTAGCTTCTTCAAAACTTGTTATTTTGTGATGAGGTGAAAAACCAGCAAGAGCTTAAATTAAAGCAAAAATTATTTATCTCATGTGAAAAACTTGCATTTTTCTTATAATACATAAAGCTATAAATGAATTAAAATATTAATTAAAATACTTAATTCTAAAATCACAAACAGGCCAAAGTATACTTAATGCAAAAAATATGTAGCAAATATGTTATATATATAATACAGGTATAATTTTCAGAAATTATAAATATATCAGTTTATTGAAACAGGAAGAATCTTGTCTAACAACAATCAAACGTTTTAAACATTACTCCTGAAATATAAGTCGACCACCTCATCCGCGACCATGCGCACACAAACACGCATGCCCCATTCGAACCAAATTATTATCAAAATAGGGTGGAAGAATGGGGACTTTCTTGCCCTTGAGCATATAAATTCTCTCTTTCCGGAGAAGAGACTTTAACGTGACCTTTCACTTCGCACCCTTTTGATGATGAGTCTATGTGTTTTGGCAGAATGCCGGCCAAGGTTACGTTTGAGGCAGTCAAACTGTAATACAAATTGTAAACTAAAGGACTATCTGCCTAAAGACGAATGTCTTCACGAAAAATTGAGTCCTGTTTATGCTCAGGGAAGTGAAGATGGAACTGGACATACAAACATCAGGAGTTAAGCACAAACTTGCCAAGGGATTTCAAAATATTCCTCAAAGAGTTTTTCATTTTAGTAGAGGTTCACCCTTTCTTTGCTGCAATAATCTGCATCAAAGTTTTACAGATGCATAACATTCTGTCTGCTCAATGTGCAAAACTACTGCTTTATTGGCATTTGTACTATGTGTATAAAAAATTTAGCACAGTTTTTCTGCATACAAAGTACAAACGTTCCTTACCTCAGGAAGTTTTAATTACACAGAAGTACTCTTAGGCATATAGATTTACACATCACTTAAATGTCATTTTTTTTAATTTGGTATAGCTTTTTCTAGAAACACTAAATTATTAAACTAATTAAAATTGACACATATCAATAAATATATTTACTTAAATATTCATAATATTCATATCAATAAATATAATATTAATCAGAATATATCAGTAATATAATATTCATATAAAGTCTTAAAAAAATTTTGGAAAGAAAAATTATGTTATACTATCTAAGTATCCAGAGAAGGTCGTGCCACTGGAGCAGAAAATGAAATTCAAATGACAGGTGTCAGCAACCCTGTCGGGATGACATCTGATGCTGACACTCCTGTCAACCACCAGTCAATGCAGTTCAGAAACATCATGGTTGCATCAAAAGCAGTTCTGTAGGAACTCAACCCTGAAGTAAACATGTCAGTGTCAAAGGATGATTTATGGCTATGTTTATATTTTTCAAACTAAGCAGTGCTACAAGAGCTGCTTGAAAAATATACTTTGCCCCTAGAGAGACAGCAATGGGTGCAAATGGTTCAGTCAATCTGCACGAGGAGATGACTGGCTCCAGACAAGCCTTGAAATTGGACATCCATACATTACTGAAGAAGCCCTGAGTGTAATCCATATCAAACATGCAAGGAATCCACACAAAAATTTAGTGTTGGAGCATAAAGATTGGTGTGTTAGAGGAAACCATTTGATTGCATATTCACAATCTTGGAGAGATATGGAAGTTCAGTATGTGGGTTCCTCATGCTTTGACAGAAGAAACCTAACTCCAGCAATTCACCATTTGCTCTTCATTGTTATCACACCAGCGAGCTCCATTTCTGGACCAGATATTGATATGTGATGAGAAATGAGTGTTGCATAGAAACCAGAAAAGAAAACATATTGATTGTGCCCTAGTTGTGTGGCACCTGTCAACAAACAGAGCATTTTATCAATGGGAGCTACTCTCCATTTGATAGGCCAGTGCTATTACAGATTTTGAATTGTGGTACAGCTACAGTGGTAAAATCACCATAAATACAAAGAATTTCAGTTGCAATGCAATGGAACTAGCCAGCACTAGTCAACAGGAAAGAAGAGATCATGCTTCAAGAGCACACCAGACCTCATACGGCAAGAGCGACAAAGGAGATGATCAATACACTTGGTTAGGGAAGTTTTACCTCATCCTCATTGCTTCTCAGACATTGCTCCATCAGATTATCACCTATTTTTGACAATGGATAACCATTTGCATGAGCAACAGTTCCAAAAACAAAATGATGTCACAGGCCACTTTTTTGCCTCTAGGAACAAGAACTTTCACAAACACCAGATTTATAAACTTATAATTCATTGGGAACATGTAACCGAAGCTGAAGGAGATTATTTTGCTGAATTAAATGCATTTGCATGAAATTTCTGGGTCACTATTTCTCACTGAAAACAACAGCATGACCTGTTTTGGTTACCTGGTATTTCCATCAGTGCTAGCATTTATTATCACTGTATTAAAATTAGTAAAAGTAAACTGATCCAGAATATATGCAACCTTCTCCAATCAGCTTAAGTGAAAAGATTGTTCCACACAAAATTAATGAAAGTACAATAAAAAGAAATGGTCTTGATTTTTATGCAATTACCATAACAATTTTTAAAAATTCATTTTATAAATAAGAACTAAAGATATGAGTATTGATATAAAAAGTTCACAGAATTTTTTCTTAATGTAATTACTTTATCTTCTTAAAAAGGGGGAAACATAAAAAAGATTTCATGCAGTTTTAGATATGAGTCAAACCTCCAAATAGTTTTTAAAAATCCTTTAAAGTCATTTTAATTTAGACAATTAAGACATAATAACACGCCGAATAAATACTAATTCAGAAGTCAAACAACAAAAATCAGCGTTATATTTACAAAATTTTCACAGGACTAGTTTCGATGGTTTTACCGAACCACCATCTTCAGCTGCAAAACCGCAAATGCAAATTAAATTATCATTTTAATTTATCTGCACTTGATGCTAACATCTCATTACTCTGAATGTGCATTAATGATAGACAAGTACAATTCCAACGACAAGTATGCTGTAATATTTTTTATCATATATTTGTACCCACTATTTACATATAAAAGTCTTCAAAGTACAGCATACCCAATTTAAATAATCCAAAATCTATTTACCATTTTTTATAGAAGTCTTCCCTCCTTGAAGAGTACCTATCGGTAACTGACCAGTAGGAGTAAGTCCTTTAAGCTGCAAGACACTCTCACTTTCTTCTCTGAAAATGTAATTGGATCAGGTATTAAACTCAGAACGAGGAAACTAGACTGCACTAATTTACAAAGTTCTATATTTATTTACTTAAATTCTAATATCTCAGACATCAGAAAAAATATATACTAAAAAAAATTCAAAAAGCTTAAAAAATAAAGGATATTTATTATATCTTAAAACTAGCTCATTCATAAAATGACAACAAAAATTTAATTTTTTATTCCATATTTTTCCCCTGTAGCTTTCAGTACTCCATATCCAATATTTTCCTTCAGTTAATAATTTCTTAATCACTGAAAACCACAATAGATGGTAAAGATTCTTTCTCATTTTTATACTATTCAAAAAGTTTTACATATTCTTATCAATAGTTTGATCTCAAATAAAAAAGCATAGTTTATAACAGATTCATCAAATTCCTTTCAGTCAGATCTCAGAAATATAAACAATACTCCATAATAACATTACACTTCTAGTCTCCACCATTATTTTTCAGAACGAAAAGCAAATGAAACAAAGATGCCTCTTTTTTATATAATGTTGAAATTGTAATACAACGTTGAAAATAAAATGTAAACAAATAGTATGAAGGTGTAGGCTTGAAAACAAATGCCTAGCAGTGAAGGAATGATGCCATCAGAAAGCATATCCATCAAGGACAGATTTTCCCCAACTTTTGCTGCACAGTATGATTTGCTTAACTGCATTGTTACTGCACAAGAAATGGTAAATGATACATTAAATTTGAAACCTCAATTTTTCATTTCAAATAAGAATCATGCATAATCTCACATTATTAAACAAGTGGCATGAAACATACAGTATAAAGCAACTGTATAAACAGAATGATATAAGGTCAAGGGACTGGAGACATATGATTTTAATGTACTATAATTGCCATTGATTGTTGAAAAATAACTACTTACATCCGGAAAAAGAAATCTTTTTGAATGATTATACTAGCAGTGATGAAGGAACATCAATAAAAATTGGAAGAAGCATTTAAAACAGTAAATAATTTAAAGGAGTAAAGTAAGTTTAGTTGATACTAATTTTTTATTCTATTACATTAAATATAAGAAATAGCTGGGTGTTTTATTTATGATATTGCATACAGTATCACATATCTTCTGCCAGAAGTGCCAAAATGTCTTTGCTTGATATTGAATGCAAAAGTTAGTATTATTTTAATCAAATCAAATATTCTTACACTTCAAGGTCATATAAAAAAACTAGTAGCAGCTTTTATGAATTTAATTATACATAGCATACTGCATGAAAGTAATATTTAACACAGAAAACTGACATTCCAATTGTTGTAAATGCTCAAAATAAAGTTGAATACTTTATGTAATTTTTCTAAATTGAATGAGTATGAAATTCTAGTCATATAAAGAGTAAATTCACATTCAGTAGTCATTTTTTGTATGCTTTAGATTTAAAACTATGAGAAATATAAGCCAAAATTTAAATTCCAAGCTATTAAACAAAAAGGCAGACTAGTAAAGCAGAATAATAGTACAACATATAGAATATATGAAAAAAAGGCATAAAATTCTTATTCACCTCAATACTGAGAAAACACGTGCCATTTTTCCTATAGCTCTAATTTTATTACGAATAACTTCTTTTCTGGCAGTTGCTGAGGCGGCCGCTACATCATGAAAAATAAAAAGTTCATTAACAGTATGCAAATGAAAATTAGTATATACGAATACAATTCAAATGATAAATACAAATAAATAAAAAGACATGCACCAAGAAACAGATACAATCAAATTATTTAATGTTGTTAATACTTAATGCATATAAATAAAACATCAATTATTTCTTGTAATTTTTATTTATTAAAAGCCACAAATTTCATGCGTAAATATAAATCAAGATTAATTATAAGTAAATGTCAGTTGATGTCTGTTCACAAATATTTCACAAAATGTGTTTGATTTTTAAGTTTCTGCAACCTTTAAAACAATTTAAGTCTAGATTTTTAAGTTTCTGCAACCTTTAAAACAATTTAAGTCTATCAGCATAAATGTAATAAAAATTAAATGCTAGACACTTTTATCAAATTATGCTCAACAGAACAGAACAATAAGCTATTAAAAAATACAAAACACACATTTAACACCAAAAAGGTCATAAAATGCATTTTATAATGTTAATGCTAAACCCAGAAACTCTTAAATTTGGCTGCTATTTTTTACATTTCAAGAATTATTTTGGCAGTTTTATCTTTTCTAAAGCATACAAACTATACATCTAACATGCTATAATGTTAGGTAAATGAATTTATAGCTTGCATACTATTTCATTCTGATATGCATATATATATAAAAATACTTTATAGTTTATATTTTTAGTAAACTGCAAAGATAAAAAGACAAAACAATTCACAAAAACTACTTGAAATCACATCTAGTAATTACACCTACAAAAATCAAAGACATTTAAAATTTACACCAACAAATTTTAGACCTCAACTGCAATGCAATACATCTATAAGCACAACAATTAAGGCCCCTTTCAGACACCCTCCCCAAGAATAATTTGCATTAGCAAATAAATCTTAATGTCTTTCAGCATATAGTTTAAAATTTCACATAAATGATATTTAAAGTTCATTTGATTTAAAATGTAAGTATACTCAAGATTTGTTATGTAGAAGCAAAAGAAATTAATGCAATCGAAGAAAGCAAAAGTAACATTTAGCAGAAAAACAAAATCAATTTTCAGAGATGTTAAATTATGAACTGAAAATATGTAATATTAATTTTGAAACATTAGCAGCTGCTGCTATAAATTTAAATTAAAGTTACTAAAAATTTAGAAAACGAAGACAATAGAAAGTTGATAAATAAAATCAGCAGGCCTTAATGACTGAGCTTTTATTTTTTTTAAACAGCAAACAATTTATACAGCAAAGCATACAATGTGACTAAACTTATAAGCACATCCACGTGACTGAACAGTGCACAACACTATCTACAGCACACACAGGAGGAATTAAGTGCACTTACACATTGCAGTAGATGAGAAATGAAAGAGAAAAAAAATTACATGTCAGTTTTTATTGTAATTCAATCAAAAAATTCACATCATCATAACAAAGCTATATTTTTAAAAAAAATAAAAAATAAAATGAGTAAAATCTCAAATGATTAAAACATATTGCAATTAGCAGGCTTTTAACACATTAACGGGCACTTTAATTTTTTTCCCCCCTTTTTCTTTTTTTCATTTTGCCTAAATAAAAGCATTTTTTGATTTTGCCAAGCAGCAATAAGGAAACTAAATCCAGGCAAAAATATCATTTAAATAATATCTACAAAAATATGTTCAAGCACAAATGCTACAAAACATTTGATTTAAAAAAAAAACTTAAATGTCTGATTTATATATAATGAGCCTATTAATGGAAAATTAAACCTATACTCATATTTTAAATATTCTTTAATATCTTATGATTTCATCAAGTCTTTATTTTGTTATGTTATATAAAGTAAAACACATATCATGAAAGAAATGCTACTAGAAAACACAACTTTCCGCCTTGTTAGATTTAATATAGAAGCATATTTTATGTTATGAAATTACTACCCAGAGATATTAACAGAAAGATAAACTAAAGTATCTTTATTTTAGCAAACATATTGTATGATCTTCTAACATATTTCTGAAATGCAATATTTCTCAATTGCAGTACTTTAGGAAAATATAGTAATACCAAAGAAGAACTTAACACTACCTTTTTTTTTTATGCCGACTATTCAAGTAGTACAATTTATAGTCCATGATCCCCCTCCCCCAAAAAAGTGTAACGTAATTTGTATTAGATAATTGCTGAATTTTCCAGGTTGGCAATTGTTGACATCCTCTAATTTTTAAAATTATATAAACATTTTCTGGGATACAAGGGTGGGGGGTAACTTACATTTTAAAAACATACACAAAATATTGTTTATGTACAAATTAAGAATATAAACATGTTCTTGGAAAAAAAAGAAAGAAAAGAGGGAAAAGGAGGGAGTAAAGAAAATAAATTTACTGAAGATATTTTAGCTTTCAAACAAACTATTCTCAGATTTAGATATATTTTAGTATTTTAATTTCAGTTTTTCAAAATATAAATATGAAGAATCTTTTACTTTTTGCTTTTCATATGATAAATATATTTCTTCATGTATCTTTCCCCGTAGCTTTTCAGCACCATGTTCTAAAAATAATAATTTAAAAAAAAAATTTAATCTAATAATTTTTTAAATATTTGCACAATTTTCTTCTTCCTCAATGCATTTAAAGAATGAGGTCCTCTAAATTTTAAAATGGATTTGTCCATATAGTGATTGTTTTTGTCTTACTAACAGAGATTAAAATCTCACAAATTGCCTGTTAATATCATGCCTAACCTTTCCCCTCTAAATATGCAACTTTATGCCAGCCTAACATGAGAACCAGCCAATCACTGAAAAGTAAACATGAATTAACATTCGGTCTCATCACTGAGTCAGCTGCATATTTGCCTTCTCTAGTTATTTATAGATGCTATGTGGATCTAAGGAATAACACAGACAATAAGAATGGGAATTCAACTTACAAGAAAGTAAAAATGAAGGTATCATATTAGATATTATGATGTTATTAACTATGCATTCTTCTTGGAAAGTTGTTTCTTTTAAAGAAATAATCTTATAACAGTTTAGTTTAACCATAACTACTTTTCATTTGTTAATTACTGTACTCACAGCCTCAGAAATTAACTTATTCACATAATTTTTTTTCAGACAATAAAATTAGTAACAAAAAAAAAAAAGAGGAATACAGGAGGAAATATGATATTGGATATAACCATTACAAAAGTGAATATACTTTTCAGTGATAATCTACAGTCCATTTACCTTCTGTTAAGTTCCAAGTTTTTGGAAAATTAAAATACATTAATGACACTACTACACTGATGAAATAAATTAAGAGAATTTGCATATTTTATCGAATTACATGAAAAGAACTGAACTGAAAGAAAAACCACTGCTTCTAGATAAAAATACAAATCTTGTACAGCAAACACATAAGCGTACACATGTTGTATAGGCGTAGCCAGCAGAAAAACAGGCTTTATAAGCGCGTGGAGGGTAAAACAAATTGCGTTCACGAGTACACCTCAGCGAATTTCTTGGTGTTATCTTGCAGCAATCACTTTAAATTCACATCAGAACAGTAAAAATGAGTAACCACCAACGTTTAGATGATGAAATGAGGTGGCGAATTGTGGGGAGGCTAGAGGCAGGCCAATCGCAAGTCCAGGTATTCAGAGAGTTTATTAATGCCCAGCATCATGTGTAACTTATGGAAACAGTTACAGGATACCGTATCCATCGAGAGAAAGCTTGGGCAATGTCGTCCAAAAGACACAACGGCCAGAGAAGACTGCTATTTGTCCATTTTGGCAAGGCGTAACAGAGAGGCTTTAGCTTCTCAGCTCTCTCGGGACCTGTATGCAGCCACAGGAACCTGCGTAACAAGGGCGACTGTTTCAAAAGACTGAATGAAAGAGGGTTGTTTGCCAGAAGACTGGCTATTTGCGTCACGTTCACGTCTATGGACAGGAGAGTCCGATTAGCATGGTGCAGGCAGCATAGTGATTGGAGTACGGAGCAATGGGCAACCGTTCTGTTCACCGACGAGTCCCATTTTAACCTAACTTTCATAAGCCGTACTTTCATATGGAGAGAGCCAGGGACCCGCTACCTACCCTCTAATGTCCACAAAATCCACAATTATGGCGGTGTAATGATCTCGGCAGGCATCATGTTCGATGGCCGCACACCTCTCCAGGTCTTTGACAGAGGCTGTCTGACTGGTGTGAGGTATAGGGATGAGGTCTTGAAGCCCTATGTTCGCCTTTTCCTGGGTGCAGTGGGCCCCGAGTTCATCTTACAGGACGACAATGCGAGGCCACATAGAGCTCTTCTGGTCAACGAATTTCTCGAGAATCGGGATATTCGGCGAATGGATTGGCCAGCCAGATCTCCACACCTCAACCCTATAGAACATGTCTGGAACGCTCTGAGGAGGGTAACTGCAACTCGCAACCCCCTCCAAGAACCATCCAGGAACTGAAAACAGCGTTGCTGAATGAGTGGGATCAATTGCCACAGGCACTGATAAGGCAGTTGCCTTATTTCCAATATGGCATCATGCTGCGAGGCCTATATGGCTGTAAGAGGAGACTGTACCCTCTATTAACGCTTTTTTTTTTTTTTTTTTTTTTTTTTTTTTGTCTTTTGCAACCGCTGTTTCAGACCTTCAGACTCCCATGAGTGTTACACATGAACATGCGTGTCTATTATAACTGTTGAATGTTTATTTTGTTTGTATTATATCAACCTATGTTCACACCAAAATTTATTAAAATCTGTCCAGTAGTTCTATAGATTGTAGATCAAATTTTAAAATTCTCTTAATTTCTTACGCCAGCGTACTTCAAAAGAACACCATATTTAAAAATTTTTAGCATCGGATAAAGGCTATGTGATAAAAATATGCCAAACATTACAATTTCTTCTAATGGACGATAAACTTCCTAACATAGAGGAATGAATTTAGAAGGTCATTAACACTACTGCAGAGATCTAATAAGACATAAATGTAGTCAAGGCAATAGTAAAATGGCCGATATATTATTGTTACCACATTTACCAAAATTTTAGATTATGTTTACTAGGTGTTAATGAATGTTTTTACCATAGAAAATTAACATATGTTTTTATGCCTGTATGCTTTATTTATGAGAAAATCTACAAGTTCAGATACAAAATGACAGAATGAAGCAATTCCTGCTCCCCGCTGATAACCATTTGTTTCATGTGAAAAAAAAAAAAAAGGGATCCAAAAATGTTATATGTATATATAAACTGGTTATTTAACCAGAAATTTGGCACTTTTTCCATAAATTAAATGTTATGAAACTGTATAATCTTGTCAAAAATAATGCAACAGATGAACTGAACTAAACATACACAACCAACAACCCATCAAAATTACAAATTCCAGATGTAATAAAACTGCATGCATATTAAATGTTAGTAAATCTGATTTTTTAAGATACTGAATGTCACAATGAATTTTCTAACATGGATTAATATTAGAATTACTAGCATTGAAAGCATATGTAATTTTACCAAGATTTAAGTTTTATCATTTTGATGAATTACTACTTCAAATAGTACATGCAAATAAAGCAAATCAAGATTCACAGATTATAATTTTGAGTACTATACAGACATTAATTTTGATAACAATAACTGCTAGAAGCCTTTCATACTAAGATTAATGCTTATGTCATTTTCCACTACTGTTTCAGTAATATTAGGAATAATTTTCCAGGGATAAGAAAATGAGTATTATTTAATATTATAAACTATATTTTATGATAATAAATGCAATATTTTAATAAAGGAAAGAAGGAAATAAACTATTTTACAGTTTATAAGAATTAACTCATTTTGAGAATAGGAATTTAACTCAAAACTTTCAATATTAAATTACCTTTCTTTTGTTAAGTTTTTTTTTAATGTAAAAACTCTTTTATCACATTAAAATTTATTTTTTATTATTGGCAAAAATATTTTAGCTAGACATCAAGCATTTTTTAATACTACAGCAATTTAACTGGAAAGATAGTTTTTTAAATATATGATTAAATATTAAACACTATTTTAACCAAAAAAAAAAACCTTTTAATACCATATCTCTTGACTTGCAACTTTCCCATTACATTTTGTAAAATATAAGATGCATTGCAGAATCACAGATTATTTTGAAGCAATAAAATTTTTGAAATTATTAATTTAATACCATTGCTGTTAATAAATCAAGGTCAGTCATTAAAAAAATATTTGTTCAATGTAGGTTACTATTTTATTTTCTTAGAATTAGTCAGAAAAAGGGGGGAACTGTAGTGAAAAAGTGTACAAAGAAAAATGTGAAATTGTTTTATCAATATAAGATGAGATGTTGCAAGAATGCATTGCCATCTTATTTGAAATTAATCTCATGCAATTGTGGCAGTTTGTTTACGCCACCAAATAAACTGAATTTTACCCTTTATTAAAAATAGTACACATTTCAAGAAAAAATGTTATATAAATGTTAAACTGTAAAAAAAACTGTTATACTGTAAAACCCCTAAACTTACATGACACCGTTTTAGCATAAAATTACTATGCTTAGTTCTTTATAGAAGGGAACTTTATCACTTAACTGCCTGTTAGTAAATACAGCAAAAGTGCAATAATCTGGCATGTTTGGGATTATTGGACTAAAATTGTATAATGCCACAAAGTGATTTTTCATGCTATTGAACGGGGAATAAAAAATAATTACATATAGCAATTCTACAAACATAATTAATGTGAAAAACATATTCTAATTCAACTTTTGCTTTAGAGTCATCAATACTGGCAATGTATTATAAAAGTCTTTCCAAATAAAAGTGAATATCCACTCAACTTCAAAGATTTCCCCCACTTCCATTAAAGAAAAGAAAAATCATTACAAAGAATGTGAACATTCATTATTTCTCCATTTTGGGGGAGGGGGATTTCACAAATGTATTAAATGTTTTACTAGCCTCACCCTATGTGATGTTGGCTAAATCATTTTCATTATTTTCCCTTTCTTTTGCTACTTGTTGTTTTGCTACCTTCTTCTGTTACATTAAATTATTATGACATCACTTAACTCTTCCACAAATGGTTTATTTTTATCCCTTTCAATCCACTCAAAAATTTAAATTTCTAAAAATGTGTTTAAAGATATATTTTTAATAACTCAAAGTAATTGGTCATCTGAATTTCCACCTTCCATGACATAATTTTACTTTATTTTCCATGACATAATATGATATTTGATGACAATTTTTGCCTAATATAAGTGTGGTTCACATATTTTCAAACAATAGCAGATGTGAAAATTGCATCAGTTTGTGAGGAACTGGTAAATTCATGTTCTCCTTTTACTCCCTTATCAAAAATTTTCTATCACATTTTAAAAATACCCTAAATAAACTAAATGATACATAAATATGAAGTTTAGAACAATATACTAACTGATATAGACATAGCTTCCAAACCATTCTGCATACTGCATAAATTGCTAATACTGCCATCTTATGGTCCAAATGTTGGCAAGTGGGGTGCTAGATTATCAAGTATGCCAAACTACTAAATGCCAGACTATTAGATTTTTACTGTATATAATTTTTCATGTATATATATCAGATACATGACAAAATTATTTAAACATACTTATGTAAAAAACACATACATACACATTCAAACTACACTACAATATAAAACAAATGCTATGCTATCTTCTAGATCTATAACTACTTCAGGCTTAGATATAATTTTATAATCACCTTCTTCCTTACCTTCACCCTCAAATGACTCCTCACCCTCAGACATTAACTCATCATCAGAACATATATTCAAAACATTGACTAGCATTTCCGTTACTAGATAAAAAAAATAAATGAAAACATAAGGAGAGTTCAAAGTACAAAGACTAATAACACATTTAATATAATGTACGTTTAATAAAGAAGAAAACTTTCTAAGACTAACAAACTTATTATAAATCAGGATATTCAAGTGTACATTTATGAAATCTTGCACAAAATGTTAAGTTATTTAGCAATTCTAGGTAAATAAAAGTTTAAATTAAACATTAAACTCCTCTACAATAATATATTTCTACCAGCTGCTCCACAAGATCCAAGTTCCATGGATCAATTGGCATATTGGGAGACAAGTAAAGAAAGACCGCTAAAACTAAAGTCTTTTATATTTACCTGGATGGCAACAGCTTAGAGGTTTGAAGTTCACAGAAATGAACTGGAAGGGTAGTCAAGTGAGGTGAGATAAAAAAGATTACACATTTGCAAAAGAGTACCTCCGAAGCATAGGACAGTTAATTTTAGTAGAAGCTTTTGCACTGTAAAGCACTGATCAGGTCTTTTACGTTAATGAGCTTTTGGTGGAAGCCTTGACAGCTCCATGAAATGAGAATTGCCACTATGCAAGGTACTTATTTTTGTGGTGTTGCTTTTTATATTTATACTGAAATAGATGCTTCAGGCCTCTCCTTTATGTTCTTTGATATTAGCCTCTCTTCTACGTTCAACTCAGAATCTAGATTTTCTGAGCTAATACTCCCAAAGGAGATTCTTGCAGATTTTAAAATTTTATTTTGAGGGTTATTGCTTTCTGTTTAGATGTTCTTCCTTATTTGGATGTTATTTGGTGTTTTTCTATGAATTTTGTTGCTCCTTTCATTTACAAATTTGGGAGTCGCCTGATTCTTTTGTACACGTAGTCGTTTGAGTGCCTAATGATTTTACTGAATTTGTCGCATTGACTTAAGCTAAATTTTTGCATGGCTATGTATCTGACACTATTTTTTTTTTTTTTCCTTTTGCACGAGATATTTTTTGTTACTTTTATTAAATTTTTGCATGGCTATGTATCTAATACTTTATTTTTTTCCCTTTTGCATGAGATATTTTTTGTTACTTTTATTGTCTATTTCCTTTTCTGATTTCCATTTTGGGCATATTCAAGAGAATGCTGTATAATCCCACCCCCCCCCCAATAATCCATAATGGATTTGTGTTGCAAATATCACTGTTGTGGCCCTCCAGAGAGGAATGCATGCATGAGAATTTGACATGACCCAAGTGAGCATCACAAAGAGTTAGGTATGCAAGGTCTTACACAGAGCAGCAGAAATATACGACCATAATATTTTTTCAGATCAGGTGAACAGGTCAGGATCACATGTACTGTACTGATCAATTTGTCTTTTTTGTGCACTTGATCCACATAGCAGGATAAACATTCTGGTCAGACAACTCAGTGACCATTTCCTTTTCCAATACAAAGAGAAGGTTTTGAGTTTTCTCTCTGAATTTCACATCTCAGGAATAATTTAGTGTTTTATGTGCTGACACACTTTTCCAACATGCTCAATCCTTTTTAATTCCAGGAGGGTAACAGATTAGGTTACAGAAGCAATTTTAACCCTTTGACAGGCGGTGGGACTATCTCCCATATGAAAACTGCAAAATTTAAAATACATACAATTATGCCTTTAGTTCTCTAAATGTATAACAGATGGCAGCACTAGTATTCATTCATGGAAATAATGTAAAATAAAACTCTTTGCAGGTCTAATTTGGAAGCAGTTTTTTTTTATTTGATTCTAATGCAATTTAAATCGTCTGAACAACATTTTTGGTGTTAGAGTGAATATTTTTATGTGAAAGTTTCTTATTCTAATAAAAATTATTATTTGAATTCATATATATTAATTAATAATGGTTGAAATTAAAAGGTGGGACCAAATATGTCCCACCGCACATGTAGAAATTGCTGCTACTAGATGACAGCACCATTCAAATATTTTTTAATTCAAGTATCATGTTCATTTTATATGCTGATAATGCAAATTTATTTTTTTAATAAATTGCAATAATGTTAAAACTTGAAAAATATTTAGTATTTTTTTCCCAAAAGAAATGAAAATATAACTCTGTAGCATGAAATGTCATTGAATACTGAATGGATATGTGAGTGTGATTCACCATAGAAAAATATCCTAAGCAGAAAAAGATGAAATGTAAATAAACATGACGGCCTTCTAAATATCTTCCTTTTCAAACCTATTATGAAATCATTAAAAAATATCTAAAAAGTCGTACAGAGAGCTATTTTTTAAAATTATGTAATTTTTTTATTTTGCAAATATGATCAATATCTACTAGATAATTACTCAAAAACGTTTTTTATATCTTGCATTTTCATTTGGTTGCTAAAACTAGTACTTTAGACAAGCATGTTAGGAGAATTTAAGCTGAGGCAAAGATGCCATTTTACTGCTCTAGATGCACGGTGGGACAAGCGGTATCCCACCACGTCATGAATTACTTTAAAGGTTTACCTTTTTTTTTTCTTTTGCATGAAATAACATTGTATTAAGGGCTAATTATGTATGTGTAAATTTTTTTTTCCAAAAAAAATTTTTTTTTATGCACCGAACTTCAAAGGTTTAATGATATCTCCTAAATGCAGCCATTTGTTGGTCTAGTTTATCAATAGAGGTCTATATATATATTTATGAACCGGGAATGGCAATATCTTTAGAAGCTGCCTGCTAAGTTACTGATGTCAAGATATTTCAGAAGAATTTCTCTGGGAATCACATTTACACTTGTTTTTATTTTTTTGATGAAGCAGTTTCATCACTTCTTTGTTTATTCATAAAAAGCAATTTTGAACAGAAATAGAAATTTCTTACATGGCAACCCATCCACCATGGAAATGACTTTCTTGAAAACAGGTATTCCTGAATGCTTTTCCCTCGCCATTGTCGGCAAGAACAGTGACCAAAAAAATGTCAGCAAGAACAGTGACAAAAAAATTAATGCTAGTGAGAACAGTGACAAAAAAAATTAATGCTAGTGAGAACAGTTACGTTCCTCCCATTTCAGTCTGAAGAAAAGGCCAAGTCACTACGTTGTAAACAATACATTGCTCTTTCACTACCAGAACCCTCCTTTCCAGTCTTAAAGGTCTTCTACAAAAGGCAAATGTGTAGGAAGTTTTCTCTCCATAAGAAACTAACACAAATGATGTAACTGTATCTCACTTTGAGCTCCAACTTCCAAGCAGGAAACAAGAGGGGGAGAAAAAGGGAAAAGTAGAAATAAAATGGAAAACATTACAGATCACTGAAGCCATGACATGAAACTTGCACTTCAGGACTTGTGCTCAACCAAAAGGTGATCCCAGAAGAGATCACCTAGGCTATTTGAGTGGTAATAAAATAGATTTTGTATATTTTATTTATCCTTATCTTTCTTATTGTTTACAATTCCAGTTCTTGAAAGAACAGATCACACAATCTTGGAAAGCTCGAGTGGGTTTTCGTTATATATTAAGCAAGAAGACTAGCTAATGAAAATTTTATTTTCAAGCCTTTTCTAAAGTAGGCAATTGGCCAAGTGTCTATAGTACTGCTGGAACTTCACTGTGTCATAAACTCATTCATAAGACAAGCAGCAAACATAAAACATTCTGCATTAATGGTACAGTAGGCATTATAAAAAAGGGCCGAATGGATGTAACCAAGCTATTTGCTGAGAACACAAATCATCCAAACCTACAGTTACTACCAAGGAGAAAAACTGATTTTCCACTTAAAAAGATAATAAATAAATAAGAAAATATATAAATGATAAATAAATAAGAAAATATATAAATGATAAATAAATAAAAAAATATATAAAATATTTGAAAAAGTAGATAGGTGAATACAAGGATGTTGAAACATACTAAAATATTTCACCATTCACAGAAGCTGAAATCAGTACTTAGAAACATGCCGATCAATTTGTCAAAGAGTTAACAAAACTGCATTCTTACGCTCAAATGGCTTATTGGAGAAGTTTAAGAAGCAAATATTTTTCCAAATGAAACCACTGGAGAATCAAAGTTGAGAAGTGAGATAAGGAGGAGGGAAAGTTTGGGATAATGGCTTTGATTACTTTTAACCCTTTAGCGGTTACGAGATTCAACAATTCTTTCTTCCCAAATATGTGGAGTATCTGTCAGTTGTAAATTCGTAATGCGAGCTTGTTCATTTGCACTTGCTGCAGTGTGTAACTGCAACACAAGCTGAACACGCTCATGACCATCAATGGGAAAGTACACTTTCACAGTATATGAGATTGGATTGTTTTACATGATGTTCCTAAATCTCATCTTAAAATTTACAAACAAAAAGTGCACTGATAGAAAATGCGCAAATGGCAGTTCTTCAGTGAGCCATTATGAACAGACCTGAAATATGATGCATAGAAATTTGGCTTCTGGCAAACAAAAAAATCTCAACCACATGTCACGGATCACTGGTCTCAAACTTAAATTGCATGTGAACCGAATACACAATCTAAAAGCTGTCGATGGACCTGAACTTTTTTTTATATGACAGTGAATATATATATGTAAATATTGCACCATACAAGCAATATTCAAAATTTACTTACAATTCCAAATGATAGGTTTGATATAGATCTAAAAAAGCATAAACAGATTTCATGGGCCAAATGTTAGTTTGTCTCAATCTATATATAGCAACATGAATTGCACAGCTATACATACAACTAACCAAGCAGTGCCAGATTCAAGAGAAGTATATATATATAAGAAGTACCAACTCAGTGGAATCAGCATTAAAGCACCATCAACTATCAAGAAAGATTAAGGATAAAGCCCCAACCTAGCCATTCTATTTTTCCTTCAGCAGCAGCCATATACATAAACCCAGTCTAGGTATCTCTAAAACTATAAAAACACCATACTTACAACAAATATATAATTGAAAGGTATTTACGGACTGTGTAAAACTGCTTTGGGGCCCACATGTGGCATGCAGGCCACCAATTTGGGACTGTAGGCATAAATAATGTAAAACCGAACAGTAAAAAAATGAACTTTCAGCAAAAAAATGTGAAAATTTCTATTTTTGATCAACAATTGTGCTGCATACCAGGTGTTAAAAATTAATACTGGATTAAGATACTTTTCCTGTCTGAAAAGATATCTCTATCTCATAATTTAAAACTGAACAGAAACTAAAAGTGTCATTATGGAAAGAAACTCATCTTACATACAAGGGTTATTTGGAAACTAACATCCAAATCACCATAGCTGATCAAATGCTGCACGAACATCAAAATGTAGATTCGTACCAACTCGAAGCATGCCATGCCTTGTCAAACAATGCCATTTGTATTGGTATTGTTGCAGTGTACTGTATCAGTTCAAAATGTTTAAAACAACTGATAGCCCACCAATTGTGAAATATGGTTGGTGATTCAACTTTTGACAGCAAGAAATGCTTCAGCAATGGAAATTCATCAACAGATAAGCAACATGTATGGCCCCAATGTGATAAGCAATAGCAAAGTGTGTAAGTGGGTAAGAGCTTACAAGAACAGACAGGAAAACATCCATGATGAACCCTGTTCAGGCCGACCATCGGTGATCACAAAAGATTTGGTCAATGCCGCAGACGAAAAGAATCACGAAGACTGGGGATTCATAGTTTCAAATTCAGCACTAGAATTTCCAAATGTGAGTAGAAAAACTTTGCACGAAATTGTCTCTGAAATGTTGCAATTTTACAAATGTGCACGCGTTGGGTTCCCAGGCTACTTTTGGAGGAACATGAAAAGAAAGGCTTGTGCTCATGATTTTTTGGACCGAAATCATAAGGAAGGTGATTAATGTTTAGACAGAATTGTCATAGGGTAAGACGTGGTTTCTAATGACTCCACAGTTTAAACATCAGTCAATGGAATGGAGTCGCATGGCATCACCAATCAAAGTCAAGGCCAAACAGATAATCTCCACATACAAGGTTATCATAACTGTGTTTTTATGTAGACATGGAGTCTTATTAGTTGAGTATATGCAGCAAGGGACAGCAATAAATGCAGTCATTTACAGCACTACCCTGACTAAATTTAGATGTGCAAGACAGAACAAGCAACATGGCTTTCTGGCATTTGGAGTTTCATTGCTAAATGACAATGCAACACCCCTTTCTGCCATTAACACGCAAAATCTGATCGGATCTTTTGGATGGGAACAGACTGACCACCACACCATATAGTTCAGACTTGGCACCAAGTGATTTTCACTTGTTTTGCTATCTAAAAGATTTCTCAGTGAGAAGACCTTCGCCACAGATGAGAGCTGAAAGAAGCAGTTCGAGACCGGCTATCCTCATAGGAGGCAGATATCTATGACGTAAGCATACAAAAGCTTGTAGAACATTATGACAGATGTTTAAACAAATATGGAAAGTATGTAGAAAATTACAGAAACATTTAAGGAATTAAATAAAAAAAAGGTTCTTTGAAAAACATCTGTGACGGTTTTATGTTTTATAAGAAACTGGACTTTACTTTCCAAATAAAATACTACTAAGTATTTTTGACAAGTACGCAGCTCATTTTATGGATTTTAAAGAAATTAAATACATTATAATACTTCCCCTCTTGATGTAATGCTAACAAGAAAAAATTAGCAGCTTATTACAAAATCTATCATCTGAAAGTAATTTCAGCACACTGGTCTTGCAAAATGACATCAACAAAATGATGATGAAATTACAATTTATCTATCATCAAATTGGAATAAAATAAAAAGCATTTAAATATATTTAATCTATTTCTTTAAATCCTATAATAATACTGCAACTTGCAAAGGTCCCTGCAGCTTGCAAAGGATGCAGATATCATCAGAGATCATAAACTGAAAAATACTGATAATAAATAAATATTCTTCATCCGATATTAGTGATAAAGATGCAGAAATGCAACAAACTGATCGACAGGGAAATCCCTGCCACTGAATATGCCAAAGGAGCAATGCGTATAAATCCTGTTTTTGTCAAGATAAATTGTAAACTGAAGACTATATGTTCACTTGAATTTCTGGACAAAAATACCTGTAATCTGCATTCTGTAGTAAAAGATTACATATTTTTGTAATAAAATGTTAAGCAAAAGTTAAAGGTGAGTTCATCAATATGCATCCCATCTTTAATTATATATTTAAGATTTCATAATGCAATAAATATTTTAAGGGAAGTGGAATTTCAGTGAAACAGGATAATCATGCTAAATGATTTACCTGATGTAATTATTATCATGTTGATAAAAAGGAAAACTAGGATTAGCTTTAAACTGTTTGTATAAAATTATAATCAAGGAATTTAAAGTACTCTCTATGAAGCAGATTGTAAACAATGACTTAAAAAATAAAATATCGTTGGTAAAATCCAAATACAAGAATTTGACTCAAGCACATTATTCAGAATCTAAGTGAATGAAGTCTCATTTCTCATTTGTAATCAAATGACTATATCCAACTGCTTCAATATAAAATTGTAATTAAATTAAATCTTTCATAAAAACAAACTTAGCACTATAATGACTGCATGAAATAATTTTAACATTACATTAAAACTACTGCATGATATTTAAAATTATTAATTTTTTAATAATTATTTCTTCCTTCCCTAATTTCAATTAAAGACTTTGTATACATTTTATTTCATTACTTTCTGAGCAATTATGCCTAGCTATCTAAAGGTCTGGCAATCCCTCCTCCCATTTTAAAACAAATTCTAATCATGAAATACAAAAGAATAAAAAATTTGGTACAAAATTTTACAGATAATGGTATGTACAAACTGCATCTAATATTATGATCCTAAGTAGGTTTTCTAATTTTACACATTTACATTGCTCTTATTTTATTATAAAAGTAATGCAGCTCTATTTAGCAGCAATAACACCCCATATTTAAATCTTTAACAGCTTTGTTTAATACAACAAATTCAGGACAGCTTAATCAGTTAACAGTCAAAAATTTTATGACAAAATAATCATAATAATAATACTAAATAAACAGAATAAAACTGCAAAATTAAGCCAATTTATTATTTACAGCTATTAGTCTTAAATCTGCAACTGCACAAGAAGTAACTCTTGTTTTCAGGGCAAATGAGAGGGGGGAGAAACTTTGAAATATTACATAAAATAACAGCAGGCAAAGAAAATATCCACTGTATTACTTACCTTTTTCCCCAACAAAAGGAAGAGACCAAGTGAAAACATCCATAAAATTTGGCAACCAATAAGGATGAGGAGAACAATTAAACTGCCGTATATTCATAACATTATTTTCATACTTGAGTACAGCAGCTATAACAAAAATCAAAAGCTTAATCAAATATTAATGTGTGCTTAGACTGAAAACGTTTTCTTTTTTCAGTAATAATACATTGTACTGATTTTATAAAATTTATCATATGAAGAACAGGTAAATGTTAAAATCTATTTAGGAAATCGGGGGAAAAAAACACCCACAAAAAATTAACTATAGGAATTATTCCTAATCCTACACTGAAAATTCAAAATTTCAGACAGGCTATTAGTTTTATTATCTAGAAAATTTTCTGATTTGCAAAAGTTGATCGTTTAGATTTCATATATAACATGCATTTATTACAAACCGTTATTATTAACCATTTAACTAAAACACTGATGCCTGTAGTTTAATAAATTCAAAAATTATGAAAAGAAAATCAAACAGTAGATAATTCATAAGCAAAGTAACAATGTTTTATTTTTTATTAAAAATTTCTTAAATTATAGATAAAATAAAATAGCTTTTTAAATATCCTCAGCAAAATCTGAAAAAGCTCATAATTAATGTTTGTAAGAGAAAAACACATAATGCAGATTTGAAAACTTGCCTAAGTAGCAAATAACAAAACACATGAGAGAAATGCATGGATAAACGATGTCAAAGGTACATAAAAGTACACAGAAGACTGAAAAATAACAATGAAGAAAATGTGATACAAGCATGCAATAAGTTTTCTGGTTCTTTTTATTTGTTGGAATTAAACATGATTCCTAATGATGAGTAACAATAACAAGACCACAAACAAATAATCTAGAGAGCATGCAAAAACATTCATTTTCACAAGAAACCAAGAAGATAACAGTTAACTGAAAACCTTTGGAACATTTTAACATTTCTTGTAGTTACTTAAAACTTACTTAGGTTGTTAACCTGCTTCATCAATAATGATAGCATGTTATTATAGAGAGAGTAAAGTAATAAAAATTGAAAGACTTAAATTGAAAAATATCTACAAATGATTTAAAATTCACGGATAGCATTCAGATCTAAAAGCAATATCAAATTTTTAGTTATATAAAATATGTATTCTTTAAACTTTTCTTCATGATCAGGAGAGAAACAGTCAAATGCCTTTCTTAACGCATTAATAATGTCTAAAGAATGAAACTTGATTTTGATAGTTAAAGAACAAAATATTTAAATGGATACATGAATTTAGAATATTCTAATTCTTCACGTCCATTCAATTATATCATAATTAGAATCCTCTTTTAAGCATTTTAATCTTTTCTAAATAATCTGATAATAAATAAAATTAAAATTTTTACGTGTACTTGAAAATTTATAAACTTAATTTATTATAAAATGATATTATCAGATACAGCAATATCGTAACAACCAGGAATTTTCATATTATAGGATTATTTCATATTTATAGGAAAATAATAAAAAGAGACTGAAAATACACTAGGGTTATTAAATGAATTATTATGAATATGCTAAATTTTTTTCAAACTATTAATATTTCCTAAATTATTTTTTCATGAATATATATCATACAGGTAAACTTTCCTTGTGGGTAAGGGGTAATCCTATTGTCCACAAGTCCATGGTTTAAAAAGATGACAAGAGAAAAAGGATACTAATTTTCAAGAGTTTTGCACTTTTTGTAAATAAATATACTACATTCATTAGACTTCAGTCCTGCTAACTTATGCATACAGTTATGTGTAAGTTACACAATGGATTGATGTCAAATAAACAGGAACTCAACAATTAAAAGATAACAATGCTGCACTTCTGTAAATCCAGAACAGCTTATACAGATGATAAAAAATAATTTGTGCATTTAATAAAGAAATATTTTACTTAATTTTGCAAACATTAAATATTTTATGGTAATTCAAAATATGTTTACCATTTTATAAAAGTATTGGGTAATCAGGACAGCTTTGCTGTTTTTTCAAATCAAAGTGCATTTACTTTTAATTATACTGCTACAGACTGCTGACCTTGACAGAAGCAGACATTTAAATGTAGTCTTTTTCTGCTTGTGTTAAATTAATTCTAGCATGTGTTGTGGCATATTTTTTGTTTCAGTGCACTACTAAGAATGGAAAAACCAGAAGTTCATTTTCATCACAGTATGCTCTTTCACTCGAAGGTAGTTTGAGCACCAAAATTTCGGCCTCGGAGATGATGTCTTTTCTGGACAACCCTGTTTTGCAAACATGGATATATTACAAGAAGCTTTCACTAAAAACCCACATTATACAGTTCTAAATATTCCAAAACATACAGGGCACAAAAGCAGCTGAGTGGTAAAGTCACTTAAAACTGGTAGTTTGGCCAAGGTTTGAATCCTGCGAATGGGCTTGATGGATGGATGTTTTCTGTTTTTCTCCATGTGTAGCATGTATACAAGCCAATTTCCCTTAGAAAGTCCTCCACAAAGGTTTCCCTTCCCTTAGACAGATAAACCACATAAACCAAACCAAAACTTACAGAATATGATCATTTGAAGAAGATTCAGCATGCAAGCTGCTACGATGCATAGTCACCCCACACTGTAACACAGCAGAATATGCTTGTTCCAAGTTTCGGCATGTGATCCTCTGATGAAAAGAAATAAAAGAAGCTTCTTTTTTTTTAAACCACTCATTACTGGAGATAAGTGGAAAGTATACAATAACATTATAAGACAAAGATCAGACAGGAAGCCAAAAGAACTTCCTTTAGTGACAATGAGAGGACTGCATTTAAATGCTTTGTGTATGGTGAGATTACAAAAGGAACTGTATACTATGAATTGTTGCCACCAAATCAGGTTATAAGTTCATAAAAACACTGTTTATAAATTGCAGTTTTAAAAGTAGAAATTGAAGTAAAGCGCCAGAACTGGTTCAGGTGTTGTCTTTCATCATGACATTGTTCAGCTCCCCATTTCGAAGAATTTTAGACAAACTCATTGAACATGGCTGAGATGTTTTGTGTTGCTCTTATATTCTTTAGACCTTACTTCCTTGGATTTTTAGCATTTCAGATCACTTCAAAATTCTTTGAACAGCCTACAGATTACTTCTTGAAAGCTGAAACACGACTTTTTTTTAAGGGATTTTTTTCAGCTGCTACAGAAATGGCAAAAACAAATATGGAACAGAATGGTGCTTATGTGATTCAAAGAAATTTTCTTATGTTTTTGTACTGCTTCATTTACATTTATTATCAAAAAACATCAGTATCTTCTAGATGACCCAACATATGATGATTTTCAGATGATAATGTCATATTATCACAATTATCCTGTGTTCACCACTGTTCATCTTTGGTATTGTTTAAAAAGATAAGCAAAAACTAAATTCAGAAACAAAAACACGGGAAAGCAATATAAAAGGAATGAAGCCCCAGAAAGTAAGAATAATAAGAGAGATGATAAAGATTTGGTCACACACAATTAAAGTGCTCAACGCTTTTAAAAAATAATACTGAATAAAAAGGGATTTTTGTCTGTGTGTGTGTGAACTATACAAGAGCTGCTTAAGTGAAGCAACCCTTAAAATTTAGCTCACTTTCACATTTATTGCATGGGGAAAACCATTTGCAGCCAGCTTATTCAGATTCCAAGGAAGATTTAAGGTAGTACAGGCAAGTGTTGTAAGTGTTATTTAATTTTGCCTTTGTATATTTTTTTTCATTCCTTCAACACTATCCTCACAACCATTTTCTTTTTCTTCTCCCCCTTTTTTTTTGGGGGGGGGGAGGGCATCTTTTTCCTTACATTTTTTTATAATCTATTTTAGATAATTTTTAAATCCACAAAATATATAATTTCCTGAAGTCAAAACCCATAGTGTTGTGAAATCAATCCTCACGATTAATATAAACCTAGAAGCTACAACTGCAAATCACTATTTGGTTAAGACTCCATCACAGGCAGACAAATGTAGAAAGTGGGGAAATAAATTACTACAATATGAAAGACAAAAGTTACCTTTATTATTGTAAACATCTAAATAATTTGGTGCAGAAAATATTGTTATAAGAGATGGGAAACCAGTTGTCTGACTTTTCCTATACATGCGATACCTGAAATTTATTTACATATGTTAAAAAGAGAAATTAAACATGCACATATAGAAAACATTGATCACAGAGGAGAACTTACATTTCTAAGAAAGCATGCAAAAGACTGAAAAAGTAACAAACCCTGCATCTTGTGCTTCATGGGCCCTTATGATTGAGAGTAAATTGTTTTGTTGCAGAAACTCACAACAAGCTGCATAGCTACAAAAAAGAAAGAAAAATCTGCAATACCCAGAATTTAAATTCAAAGCTGTGCGTATTTTAATGTACTTAAACTTTCTGGACTTAGTAATACTGATTTGAATATAAAATGAAATTTTCCTTTCTGAAAATCACATGGGTTTATATGAGCACATTCATTAACATAATCTGATTTTTTAGATTTTGCATTAAAAGAAAGCATTCATTTCGTCTTTTCAAAATATAATTTCATGCCATTCAACTACCTGTTTTTTGAAGAACATCTTAACACGAACCCATACACATGCAACACTTTTGGGTGTTGGGAGTGGGGGTTCGAACCCACGCTCTCTTTCGAGAACTAGAGGGATGGAAAGACAATTAAGGAAGTTGATGACTGCATTTGCTCATTCCAAGAAAAGATAGAAGTAGCCATCAACTCCATTACAGAAGAAATGGAAACAGGCCAAGAAGAGATAAAAGCTAGTCAAGAATCAGTTAAAGAAGAGATGAACGCTACTAAAGAGGAAAACAGGAACAAATGAATGACCATATCACGGAATGGAATTTGAATGATAATAAAATCCCTGTTTTAAAAAAGTGCTCAAGATTTCTGCAGTGAGTTGCAACAGTAATGGACTATCCATCAATGGGCATATCAATAGAATTGTTTGCAATATGATCATTGACAGAGGAGCTAATGTTACCATCATTCAGAAAGATTTAGCTCAACTAATTAAAGATAAACTCACTCGGACGTCATCCTGTGTTAGCCTCCAGACTGCGTCTGGTGATGAAATCGACATAGATGGGAAGTTAAACATGAATATCACGTTTGGAAGTGCAACCTACTATCACATGCATATGTAGCAGATATTACAGATCCCTGCATGCACGGATTGGACTTTTTAAGGAAATGCAATTTTTCTTTGGACTTCAAAACAACAGACTGCTTTCAGAATCGAAGGACAATCCTCACCCGGAACGCCAATGCCTTGTCTGAAAGACCCTGCTAAAAATGCTGACGGAATCATACTGGGGTCGAAGAGAAACATGAGACTACCAGCTATTCTCCATCTCAGGGCGCCCTCCGGATGCACCTTTATCGTCTGACGAATACATCCAAGATCTCTAGTCCCAGTTTGAAATGATGCCCAATTTTGCACGAGAGCGAGTCAACTTGGCAACAGAGAAGATGAAGACCCGATATGACACCACAGCTACTGAACATTGATTAAACGAAGGAAACAAGGTGTAGTTGTGGAATCTAATTCAACGAAAAGGACTCTGTCCTAAACTACAGTCACCTTGGGATGGTCCTTACACAGTCATAAACAGGCTGAATGACCTCGTGGTTCAAATCTGTTAAGTCATCGAACTCTAAGCCTAAAGTCATTCATTATGACAGGTTAGCTCCTTACTATAGCCATAGTACATAGTGTAGATAATTGTAAATAGTATAAGACCATGGTCATTTTTGCTTCTAAATTTGTACTTGATTTATATCTAGTATTTGATAGTATTTAATTTGCTTTCACTTATTGTAATAATTGTTTATGTTATTTGTTATTGTAATGTATATTATTGCATTGATGCCTTAGTTGTAAGTTTGGATTCTTGTCCAGAGATTGTATTGCCCGGGCCGTGCAGTCCTTGGGAAGGGGGCAGTGTTACGGATTTTGTATTTAGTTAGCTGTTTTTACTAGAATTATAATTAAAATTGTTTTATATCCCATAGCAATGCAGCATGAAACTTATTTTAAGAGAAAGCTACACCAGAGAAGTAAACATACAATAGCATGTGCATTTAACATTCAATAAATAGATATCTTGTATTTCTACTGTTTTGCTTTCCAGAAATTACGAGAACCTTCTCGTGACTGATTAAAAAGCTTTAAAAAGCTGGAGAGAAAGATCTCAGTTCAGTTGCTGTTGTTGTTGATTGTAGCGAATTTGCAGTGAGATGACCAAGTCTATTTAACACTGAGGTAAATGGCTCTATCTGAATTAGAGAGATATCGCGAAGCTGGAGATGGTTTTGGCAATTAATTTTTCATGTCAAATTTGGCGAGAAATCACTAAAAGTTGACAAACTTGGCAACATTTTGGCACAGTCCCTGTATAAAACTAATTGATACTGCAACTCAATACCTGTAATTGATCCCTATGTGTTGCAGTACGGGCGCTTGAAATAGGGTCTCGGGAGCCAGCAGGAACAGAACTCTCAACCTCACGCCGTCCAGCAGCCTAGACCTCCACAGCAGCTAGATTACAGCACCACGCCACCGTTGCCAGTGATCTCTACGTGTAACTGTATCCAGCCCTTATGTGTACCTTTAACCGTATATGCCTTCCAGTGATTTCAAGAAATAGAAGACACTATGATACTCAACAGCCGAAGAAATATAACCTGGAGAGAGCATCAGTTCTTAGTTTTAGTTCAGAGCTGACTTTGAAGTATTAAGAGATCACTATGTGAGTTTTACGTGCTTTGCATTGTGCTATGTTTAACATTATTAATAGTTTGAAATGTAACTAATGATCATGCACTGCACTGCTGAGAAGAGCTTGTGAAAACACTTTTGTGGAAAGTTCCAGAACTGTAATGTGTTTCTTTTGGGAAAATAAATTTTATCATGCTATCATTCGCTCTGTGTGCATTCAATCCAATACAAACCCGTATGCACGCAATACTTTTTAGTGTCAGGAGTAGGGTTGAATGTTGTTGAGAAGAATAATGAATGATCTATTTATTAATGAGCTGGTGAAAGAATTACTGCCATAATAAGAAACAAAAGAAATTATTGCGACAATAGAAAACAAATTTGAAGCCAAAATAGACATGGTTGAAAATAAAGTTGGAGAAATCATATAAAGAGATATGCTATCAAACAACAGATCAAAGAAAGTTTCTGCTATGAAACAATTACTGCCATAATACTAAACGAGAAATTACTGCCATTATAAGAAACAAATTTGAAGGCAAAATAGACATGGTTAAAAGTAAAGTTGGAGAAATTGCACAAAGAGATACATTGTCAAACAACAGTTCGATGAAAGAGTTTCTGCTCTTGAACTGCTGTTCATGTCCAGGAGCCAAACGATCAAGGTAACACCTGTCTAGATGGTTTAACCAGGCAATACAATGCCTTAAAGCAGAATATGAATAAAACTAAAACTATCCTAAAGTTCTGGGACTGTGGTGGAGAAGGCCACATTCGAAGTAACCGCAAGAACACCCTGAAGCACAGACAAGACTGCTCCCTAGCAAAGACGCATAAAACAAATTTGCAACCATCTCATAAAGCGGAGGTTGCCAGTTATTGAGAAGACCCATTTTTAAAGTCTTTCAAATTTCTGCAATGAGCGGTAGTAGTAATGGACTTTTTATCATGGAACATATAAATGGAGTTTCTTGCAATATGACTGAAACAGGAGCCCAATGTTACCATCATCTGAAATAATCTGGATAATAATCAACAACTGGAAAGTAAACTCATCTGGGTGGCACCCTGCATTATCCTGCATTGTATCCAGTGATAAGATCAACATCCATGGAAAATTAAATGTTGACATCATGTTTGGAAGACATTACAGGCAAATCTTACTAAAACAATTTTCCAAAAGATGTTCAGTCATAAATAAATAAAATTTTTTTTAAAAAATGCAAGTTACATTTTGTTTCCATAATATAAACTATTTTTAAAAATGTATTATGATCAATTTAACTAATTCCTACCTTTCTATTTTTTAAACAGATTCCTTAAAATTGCTTTATACTGAAATGACAATGGAATTTATAGAATGGCCTATCGCAGTGTTTCCCAAAGTGTGTGTCGCAACTTGAAACACAGAAAAATTCAGCTGGGTCGTGGCAAAAATTGTAAAAACACAAAAATTCTACAACATTTTGCTCTAAATTTAATATTTTTCAAAACTTTTTCAAGTACTGCAGATGGCAGCCCTTTACCACCGTTTCTTACCGAACCATTTAAATTCAGATGCTCTGATTGGCTGATTTCTATTCGTCATTCAGTGCCTTCTCCAGTACATGTGCTGTAAACTCACGTAAAAGAAGAAAATTTTTAATTGTTAAATATAAGCTATAAAAATAACTAAAAAAAAAAAATTTTTTTTTTCCTTTTTTTTTCCTAATTTAAAATATTTTTTCTCAACAAAACAGTTTTATAATATTCATAAAAATTTCATTCAAAAGGTTCCAGTGGTGTTAAAAGACAAAGTGACAAAGTTTTTTTGTCACAAAAGCCAAATAACACCAAGTTTATAAATGACAAAGTCGACTGCGAATATCTAAAAGTCAAAACACATCTTAAGTTGTATTTTCAAGACCTTGGAAACAGAAGTTGAAATTTGTCATCAGTCAGCTAAAACATGATACACTATACTATTTCCCCACCACCCCTTGATTACTATACCTTCTTTACATGCTCACATACAGAAAAAAATTGTTGAACTTTACAATTTTTAGCATTTTAATAAATTAGTGATAATTTTCAACGCATTCACTTTCATGAAAAAATAATTTATTCCTGATAAGGCAATAAAATTTCATGTTTAGGTTCATCTGCTATGTCAAACGATGAATTTGAATTTAATATCTGATAAAAATACGCCAACATAAGAAATATTATTTTAAATTAGCCTTTTACACAAATGTGAATGGCTTTAACAGGCCAAACATTTTCTTTAAAATTTATGTTTAAATTTAAATAACTGACTTGATAATTATCAGCATAGCCTACTAACTTGAATATCTAAATGTTATTTGATATATTTCTTGTAATGATATATGAATTTTATATGCATTCACAGAAAAGACTACCAATGTATCAAAAAGAAATTTTTAATATTGATATAGTATTGCAATTCAGAAAAAAATATAAAAACATAATAAAGATATGATTGTGGTCGATTCCAACAAATATATCAATTAAGGATTCACTATAAATGGTTTACAAGGAAATCTACAAATTGACGGGTCTTGAAAATTTAGATACAAGATGCACCTTTCAAGTTTAACACATTATTACAAAAGCAAAACTTTTCTTTAATCAATCAGAAAACTAATACTTATATATTTATGCCATTATCATTAATTCAAACAAAAAAGGGGAAAATATTGTTCCCAGTTTTATATTTAGTTTTATATATATTGCATTTGGAATTTAAAAAGATCTTACCTGTAAAAGTATGAGCAACCTCTAACACTATTATGACTGAAATGTTCTGTAGTTTTTTCATTACCAAAATCCTCTAAAGGATCAGACCAAAGGAGATCACACATAGGACCAAATGCTGGAGGTTCTTTAAAGCGATCCAACTGAAATAAGTAGGTAAGTGTTATTTACATTTCTTGCAATGATATAGTACATCTTTTAATTTAAAATTTTTTAATTTTTTTTAATTAAATCTTTTATAAATTCACAGAAAAGGCTACCAATATATCAACAACAGGACATTCGTAATATTGTTACAGGAAATCGGTATAAAGCAATATACAAAGTGACTTTATTAGCAATTCATTTCTCTCTAAACAAAAGATATTTAAGTTAACTTCAATACTGAATATTATAGAAAAATTCTCTAAATTACTACTGCCACATTTCTATTCATTGAAAAATAATTAAGACACTAGTATACAACAAATCTACATGTGCTTGTTGATAAACCATGAACTGCATTTAATGGCAATTGAAAATAAGTAGCAAACATAATATTCATAAATTAAAATATTATTTTTTGGCCAAGTCCAAACTGAAGGAAGAAGAAAGTTGTAAATATTCAAAACTTACATTTTCTAAGACTTTTGTTTTAAAAAAATTACCTTTTTTATATCCTCTAAAGTATGAATTTCAGGAGATAATCCACCATGAACACAAAGAAATTGTTGATTCATAAGAGCAGCAAGTGGTAAACAATCAAATGCTTCCATGCATGCATCGTAGACTCTTTCGGAATATTTTATTTTACCTGAAATATTAGATCCAATTACCATATTGTAGATATACATTAAGTCTTTCAATACAGAATAAGGAACAAAGTATTAACTTACATTCTGTTTTGAAGGTAAAGTATTCTGTTAAATGTCTGCATTCATGATTTCCTCGTAGTAGAAATAAAGTAGTTGGATAGCAGATCTTTAAGGACCATAGATATAAAACACACTGAAACACATTCAATATGATAAAAATTTAAGATTTCCAGGGCATGCATTTCATTTTCAAGTACAAAAAAATTATTAGACAGGTAATAAAATTTTAGATGCCAACAGTACCTCAATGCTGAAATAACCTCTATCTACATAATCTCCAAGGAAAAGGTATTTTGTTGAAGATGGTGAGCCACCAACTTCAAATAATTTCATTAAGTCAAAGAACTGCCCATGGATATCACCACATACTGTAAAAATGAAAGGAAAAGAATTAGCAAAAACTCATTTTGTCATATGTAAGCTATCGATTCTACCCTCTAAATTTAAAAACTTGCACACAATAGTGGAAATATTTGTAAAATATTATTAAAATCAGTTTTATTCAATATCCTAAAGAAAAAAAAAAGTACAATTCCATTAAAGGGACTGCAACAAATAAACAAGCTATTGCTGATGCCAAGAATAATTATGGTAACACTAAAGCAAGAAAGGAAGCAAAATAGTAAATAACTATCTCAGATTATTATTTTAATATTTCATATAATACTTTTTATTATAATAATTCATAAAAAATTACTAAACACAACTGAAAGAAAGTATGATAGTAATTAACTATTTAAGCCTATTAATTTAATTTGATGAAAGGTTAATTTCACATAAATACAATTTTTTATTAATTTATAAAGAAAAGCTAAACTTAAATAAAATTAAACACAAGACATGATATTTTTTACAATTTCCAACACTACAGAAAATTTTTTTTTTCAGACCATCTGTACATAAACTCAGATAACTAAGAATCAAAATGCTGTCGAGCAGTGACCTAATGGCATTTATTACATTCTATTAAAAATGTCCTTTAATATGTCAACTTATAGCAGGAAAAAAATTAAAACTAAAAAAACAACAACCATTCAGACTTCTCTATAATTATCATTACCGAAGGATTAATAATATTTTTGGACTGTTGGATCTGGAACAAGCAAGACCTACATTTAAATTAAAAGACTACATTTAAATTAAATTAAAAGATTATTTATTAATTTAAACCAGGGGTTCCCAAAGGGGTCTTTGGTATCCTTCAGAGGGTCCGTGGGAAATTAAAATTGACTTGGGGATCCCTGAACAATGTCAGGGGATATGTGCAAAGTTTAATATAAAATAATGAAACTGTGATAAATTTTTATTATTATAGAAATTTAAATAAATAACAGTAAAATAGTAGCGACTTTTACATCCTGAATAAAATAGTAGCAACTTTTACATCCTGAATAAAATATAAATATAGGTGGGTGCTTAAAACACAGCATTATGCAATACCTTTTTTGAATGAACATTGACAAAACTTATTTCCATTGATTTGTCACTTTGTAGTCCCGCCAGTGTGTATAACTTGTTTTAATGTTATTACTAAAACTTAGTTATTGTTCAGTTTACTTCAATAAATTTAAGCTTTCAATTTCCATCAACACGCTAACAACAATGTAACAACAAAATAATAAAGAACAAAAAACTGAGATAATCCCTCAAAAACGAAAATTAAAAAAATCCATTGACACAAGCCTACTATTTAATAGTTCTGTATGGCACCAGTTACTTAAGTTAATAACAAGGTTTATACAGGAAAGCAATAACCCATTATGTGCACTAACTTGTCTATGGTATAAACATAAACTATAAAAGAGTCATATCTAATCAACAATTTAGTTCTATGTGATGCTGATACAAAGTGTATAAACAAATTTTCCCAGTTTAGACAAAAAGAAGTTTTGTATTGTTGGAAGTTTTGGTATATAGCATTTTTTGTATTGTTATGCAGATAGTGTACTTTTGTTACGTAAGTACAGATATTCTGCATATTCGAATAAAATTGATCTCTTTTCTAAAAAAAGTATATATCACATAGTTAACCCCTTAACATTAGCTTACGTTGAAACTTTTTCTGTGCAAACAAAATTTGGGAAGAGTAAAATGTTCTCCGTTTCCAAATCTTTCGAAATTGTAAAAGAGAGATGAAGATTTGCTTGCATACTGTCAACACCTAACAGCTCTTCATGCAGGCCTGAACCAAAGATTTGAAGACATTCTTCACTTGGATATTTCCAGCTAGGTGTGGAACCCTTTTGCGTGTGGACAAATGCAAATCTCGAATACAGACCAATCCATATTAATACAGCACCAGCTTATTAAAATATCCACAACTAAGGAACTTAAATCAATGTTTGAACAAAGATGCCACAAATTCTGGTTACAAAAACAGATCCCAATTTTATATCCTGCATGATGGATTATTTACAAAAGTTGTTGACTGCTTTCTCGTCTTCCTATTTGGTAGAACGTGGGTTCTGTGCCCTTATCAACCGCATTACAAAAAAAAAAAAAAGAAACCGACTAGAAATTACTGCTTATGAGGTTTTGCAGTTGCTACTCACATTGAGCGAGACATAAATACATTCATAACATCTCATCAAGTTCATTCAAATTATTAATTTTTTTAATTTTAATTTAAACAAGAGTTATAATTTCAATAAATACTTCTTCAATATAATCTTTTTTTAAATTTGTAAATTTTTATACTATGCATTTATGTAGCTTTTTCACTTGGGGGTCCGTGGGCATGTTTTGACTATAAAAAGGAGTCCATGGGTAAAAAAGGTTTGGGAACCACCGATTTAAACTATGAATGTTCACAATGAATTAAATATAATTTTGTCGAGTCAGAATCAGGTGCACAATAAATATATAAATAAACTGAAAAGTTAAGGGTTCAAGTTCAATGAAATGCACACACAGAAAACAATAAGGAACAGCCCAGCAACATCTATACAACTATCTAGTACAGTGGTCGGCACTAAGTTGTCCAAGAGGCAATTTTGAAGTGTCCATATTCAAATAGTTTAATTCTAAATTTTAAATATTTGAACAATAAACACTCATTATTGTGAGGAATAATTTTAGTAAATATTTTTATCTTCACCATTTTAAAAAAACTATGAATTGTAGAATTAAACTCTTGATGAAAACTTAATCTTAATGACATTTAAGTCAGTATATAACTCGATGAATCAAAACATCCGATTCTGCACACACAATGAACTATTTTCTGTTTCCATTAAAACATGCTGTGCTTTACATCCATATTTGTCCATGACTTTTTAAATCCGTAACTTCTGTTCAAATATAAACTTGTTTTTTCATGAATTTGTATTTTTAGCTGTAAGCACAGTTTGTATTATCTCTTCAAATTAAAAGATAATAAAAAGACACAGATCACATTACTTTTGAAATGATTGGTATTAAGAAAATAATTTCATTTCAGCTGACTGCTGTGTGTCAACAACTTATTTCAGTTGCTCAACAAAAACTTGCAGTTTTCTTGCTACACATAATCATAGAGCAACATTTATGAACAACATTCCAGTGCTCTATTTGTTTGTAAATACTTTCACAATTACAATACAAATTATTAGAACATTACAACTTTTAAAATCCACGTACATTAATTCTATCTTGATACAATTATATATTTATTTTTATTTCAGTTATTATATATTTTTGTTATTTTAACCAGCCCATTGGTGCCCATCAAACTCCTGCATTTCTGAAATTTACCCTCCTATTAAAAAAAGTTGTCACCCCCTGATTTAGCGGAATTTATGTAGACAAAAAACTTAAATCTAGCACAAGAGATCTTTTTCCTGCTGATACAGATTTCAGGTGCCCAAAATTTTAAATATTTTTACAATACAGTCAAACTTGCTTATAATAAGAACAAAGGGACTGCTATATTTGCTTGCTATAACAAAGTATTTGTAAGAAATGGGTTCATGAAAAAATCATAAAAATTCGTACATACTTACTACATTACATACAATTACTTTTTTTATTTTTGTGCAGTAGAAGCTGGTTAATTTGCTTTGAACTGTCTTACTGTCTTTTTTGTGTTACTATTCTTTGGAGAAGAGTCACTGCCCAAAAAACATTGTCATTTGTACCTCTGAAAAAAGTTTGGAGCAGTTCTGCACACTCAAAAGCTACTGATCTTCCCATTTTGCCCTTATCATCATCACTTTCATTATTTTCTTCACCTGCTCTAGCACAAACGAATTTCAGCTACAATATCCTCGAGAGTAGATATCTTAGCAGTCACAACATCGGCACCAACAGGTACATACTTTTCAAATTTTTCTATTCTCATTTCAAATTCTTCTATTTCATTCTTCTATTCAACTTTCCAAATCATTTACTTTTCTTCTTCCTCAGTGATTTGCTTCTCTTGAGAAATGTCCAATCCAGCCTTATGGAAGCAAACAGCAATGCATGTTGGTATAGCATTTTCCATGCATCGTTCATTAAACGTATGATTTCAAGTATGTTTATATATTAGCATTTAAGGATCTTTGTATTTTTTATCTTCTATCAATAAGCATCAAATCAAGTGCTTACGAAAGTTTGGTTTAAAACTTCTGATGACTCCTTGGTCCATAGACAATAAACACTTGTAGAATTCAGGGTAAAAATTCAGTTCGGATGTTTTAAATCCAGTGATTTCAGGATGCACTTTTTATTTACCAATTAAAAGAATTTCCCGCTTCTCTTTCTTTAGTTACCTCATTTTGAAAATAATTCCATGAAAATGTCTGAAGTCATCGAGGTTTTTTTGCTGTAGTCATAATAAGCAGGTGTAGCCTTTTTACATGCTTAAAACAACTATTGTTTTTGGACTTGCCAATAACAACAGTTTCTTCTTGTTAGTGCAGGACATATTAGAACACACTAAAGCTGTCAATTGATTTCTGGAGAGCTTACCTCCTATGCACTTTTCACCCATGAACTTAAAAGTCTGCTGTGGTTTAATGCTACAGAAACAGCATTATAAATGCCATCTTTTGTGTACAATTTCTCCAATAACTGGCCATTTTTCACTCATCCATGTCACGATATCTGCCATGTTAGCAGACTTTGGCTTCACCAAATGTTTTCAAAGGTTATCCCATGTCTATTCTTGAATCGATCAAGCCATCCATTTGTACATATAAATGCACAATAGCCAAATGTTTAGCAAATGCTTTTGCTTGAACTTTTAAAAGTAGAATACTTACAGGAAAATTTGCCCTATGTTGCAACTTCACCCACTTTAACCCCTTCTATGTCAGCATCACATCTTGCATGTTCGCCGTTTTTGTGCCCATAAGGTTGAATATTGCTAGAGATAGCACAACTAGCAATAGTTTCTTCACAATCTTCA